TACTCCGTTAGCGTATACTGCCTAATCCTCCTATTCAAAAATAGGCTTGGGGGGGGGGGGGCACCGTAGCTCGCAAAATAATCCACAGCCCTATGGTAGATCTTGGGGTCTGAAAAATGATTATGCCTGCGGTGGGTTGTGGTTTCAAAGCTGTAGTTCTCGAATATGCTCTTGCTTTGGGGCGGGGGCGGCTGAAATGAGCTTAACGACACACAATTGCCCAGGGCGGGTTTCTCCTTAGGAGGGGGTGTCCAAACGGGGGGCCGTTGTACGCGCAACAACTTGGTGAGACGAGGTCATCACATTGGATGCATTCGCCATCAGCTTAACGCAGAAGACAATCAGAAGATGTCGATCCTCGGCCGAGCGAGGAGCACGACTCGCGGTGCACCGCTCAAGAGGCGGGTGAGGGGTTTCCACATAAACAGTGGGATGGAGAGGGCTGCAAGAAGAGAGAGGGGACGGAGGCAAGAAGAGAGGGGGGATGGAGGCAAGGAAAGGCTACTAACAGGATTCGTGTGACTTGCCAACCTGCCAGGTGCGCCGCGTCCTCCTACAGCAAGAGTACACAAAAAACCAAACTACAAACGACAATCAGACAAAAAGACAGCCACTAGCGACAACAGAACAATCACAAATCAGTGTACAGGTTTAAAACAGACAAAAAAACAAGCCCGGTATCCAGCCGGTTTCCCGCCCACTCACAGCAAAGGCTTCAACACATCCCCTTTGAACATGGTTGTATCTGGAACGGGAAGTCTTTCTGTGGCTGGTTGCATGTGCAAGACAAAACAGCTTTGAAAATTGTTATTCTTGGCTGGTTGAGGTTCGCTCTGCTGTTCGAGTCAAAAACGCGTCAGCTGTTGTCAGCTGTTGAGCTTGAGAAAACGTCACACCAGAGCTAGCAGCTAGCTGTGTGGGTTTGGTACTGCCTGCCTGCCTGCCTGCTATACTTCCAAACAAACAAAAAAAACACACCACTGCTGTGCTTTCATGAGCCCACTCGAGAGGGGTTTTTCGTGTATTCTAACAAAAGAACGGAGGATCCACCTTAAGCTGCGGCGAAGGGAGGAACATGAGGGCGACCACCGTCCTGTCCTCCAAAGTGAGAGCGCGGTCCTTCAGAATGGACTCGAACGCCAGCGCTCGCGTCGGCATCCTTGCCGCCCCCGCTCCCCCCCCGCCTCCGGCGCCGCCGCCCGCGTACCCCCCCCCTGTCCCACCCGCAGCACTAGAGGGCGGCGGCGATGCCCGTACTCCTGTCGCAGCTGTTCCTGCCGTCGGCACCAAAGTAATCCACAAAAGTGGTCGAGAACAGACACAGGCCAAAAGAGGGAAACAAAAAGGATTAAAAACATGACACACACAAGCCCCACGACAAAAAAAAA